TAAAATACTACAACAATACTGTTGCAATGATACTACAATGCTGTTGAAATGATACTACAATACTGTTGTAATGACACTACAATACTGCTGCAATTATACTACAATACTGTTGCCATGACACTACAATACTGTTGTAATGATACTACAAAACTGTTGTAATGACACTACAATACTGCTGCAATGATACTACAATACTGTTGCCATGACACTACAATACTGTTGTAATGATACTACAAAACTGTTGTAAGGACACTACAATACTGCTGCAATGATACTACAATACTGTTGCAATGACACTACAATACTGCTGCAATGATACTACAATACTGTTATAATGATACTACACTACTGCTGCAATGATACTACAATGCTGTTGTAATGATACTACAATAGTGCTGCAATGATACTACAATACTGCTGCAAGACTAATACTGTAACATTGTGATGATACTACCGCAAACATAGTTACGTAAACCCTTAACCTCCTTACTCACAAATCACTCTTATTTATTAATTTACTCTTCCTAGCATGCTAGCAGTTATCCTTGCTCCAAGTTTGTACTGAGTGATAATTCCATGGATGATATAGTAATTCATTACAGTGACAACTGTTATTATCATTTGTATAATCTGAAGCTTGAAACAAATAATCATTTCCTTATTGACTTCTAGCAGTCTAAGGCGCCGTCATTCCCCGTGTCGTGCGCTCTTGTACTCTAATCGTTGGTTCGAATTCACGATTATCATAATTCACGGTTCGATATAACTGATATGTTGTTCAAAGCAGGCGGTTTAACGCACCCCCCCCCCCCCCCCCTCTCCCACCCCTCCAACCCCCAACAATCACACCAACCCAAACATCCACCAAAATATACCACTTACATCCCCCCCCCCCCCCCCCCCCCCCCCACACACACACACACACACACACATACACACCCTCGAAGACGTTATGCCTCCGAGACAGGGTCATAATCTGTCTGCTATTAACAAGGCACTGGTGATGACATTAACTACACCGACCACTCACACCATCCACTCGAAATTTATATCTCAAATAACGAAGCCGACACAGCTATAATAACAAATCAAGAAGTTGAGTTTTACTGGCCAAATCTGGCAGGTAACCTTAAGTGACCCTTAACTGTTCTTGCCAGCCATTCTTCAGTTAATTATAGAGCCTACTAGGGCCATTACTCTCCAGTATTAATGTGATCTGCTCGACAAAATACCGCCCTTCACTGGACAATGCTGAAGCCAGCGTGCCGTAAATTGACGCGGTGGGCCGACGTTTGGGGTCAGTTGGAATGATCAAGAGGCTCACGTGAACCCGAGCCCCGTGTTAGAGTCACACACAATGACACTTTCTATACAAACAGAGGGTTATTTACAAGTCCTAATTGTAATGTAGCCAGTGGTCAGTGTCCTTGGTGTATCAATGCGCCGGCCTTGACCTCAGATTGTAAATTGGTTTGGACGCTGCTGCGACTTAAAGAAAGCCATCAAGGGACAATTGGGTGATGTTCTGTTTTCCCAAAAAGAGCAGGTATACTTGAACATATCGATTGTATTGTGAGGAAGATTTAATCAGACTAATACTGTAACATTGTGATGATACTACCGCAAACATAGTTACGTAAACCCTTAACAAAATTGTGTGCTGCTGACGTGCGTAAAACTGAATTGTCAATATGACGAATTTTCGCCACGTGTTACTTTAAGTCTTCCGGCCGTTTAAAGGAACTCGATGACTATCTTTAAACCGTCGGACTTAGGGAAAGACGTGCCTGCTCTACAACCCTTGTCATGGATTGTTAGTGCTATGACAAGGGGCATGTATAGTTACAAGTCATATTATTTATTTCTAATGTTCATAACATTTAAAATACCGATTCGGCGACCAGAGTTATGTTCAATACCTTTCATTTTGTTGCTATCCCGTCATGTCATGTTGAGTCAACATGCAGAACTATTTTGTTACAAGTGACAGTGAGTGAAAGATATGAATCTTACGAAAAATTGAAATTTTATTTGGAAGAGCATGACTTCCACATGTGCCAAGTAGACATCATCCATCACTGTGACAGACATTATATTAAAATTCATGAAATCTATTATGTTGTGGTATATGGAGAGTTACAGACATTTCCCACGGTCTACTTTGGCAGCTGCTTTGTATTACACCACAAGGATTTCCTAAATAGATTATGACTCATCGTATTTTTCCTGTTCTCACAAAATAATCCTGAAACCTATTCTGTCACTTTAACGGCGAGATTTCCATTTTGATCTGATTCTGCGAAGGGGTTGATTTCACGCCGTATTCTTATGTAACACGATGCATGTCTGAATAAGTCTTACACGTTCTTCATTTTAACAGTCACTGTAGTTTTGAATAAGAAACGCTTCAATCTTGACATGCTAAGCTTACCGTAATACCCAAAATAACTGTTAAGTAAAGACTTGACAATGTTCTATTCTATTTGATGGACTTGACACTACTAGCGTTCTCTTTTACATACTTGACAGTACTGACTATCTCTTTTACAGACTTGACAGTACTGACTATCTCTTTTACAGACTTGACAATACTGACTATCTCTTTTACAGACTTGACAGTACTGACTATCTCTTTTACAGGCTTGACAATACTGACTTCCCCTTTGATATAGTAGGCAATACCGATCTCAATGATAGAGAGGTCAAATGTTGTATACTTTTGACTCGCAAACGTGTTAACGTGCAAATAAACATACAAATATAATAACACGCACACACACACACACGCACACACACACACACACACGCACGCACGCACGCACGCACGCACACACACGCACGCACGCACGCACACACACACGCACGCACGCACGCACGCACACACACACGCACACACGCACGCACACGCATACACACACACACACGCACGCACGCACGCACGCACGCACGCACGCACGCACGCACGCACGCACGCACATACATCTTCGAATGACGCGACGCTAACAGCGGTACAGCTGTCCAATCATATTGCTTTATATAATGATGTCACTCACTTGATTGTCTGGTCCAGACTCGATTATTTTCAGATCGCCGTCATATAGCTGGAATATTGCTGAGTGCGCCGTCAAACAACAAACAAACAAACATTACACGTTACAGATCATTGGACCCCCGAAAAGGGGACGTAACTCTTGCATCACATTTTGAATCTATATCTGTGCATGCCCTAGTCTCATTACGTTTGATTGGCTGTTGTGCGAGAGAAATTACTGATAGGGAAATGAAGATCGGAGGCGTCACTAGAAAATCCTACACAAAGGTAGTCATTAGATCCAGGTATTTATTATGAAAGAAAAGAGATGTGATACAGTGAATAATGCCGCCTTCTAGGTAGCCTTGTCACGTCTGTACTTGGGCTTCGTTCAGTGTACCGATGTGTAGAATCGACCCAGGTGAACGCCTATACCACTAACCTATCCTCCTGCCTATGTCAGAGATGATGCACAGCGCTGAGGAATATTTTCTGTGAAAAACATTTTTTTTCAGTAAAAACAGTACGATAATAACTTGATGTCATGTGTCTTTGTTTGACCAAGGGGAAACTATCTCATTGGGGAAACTATCTCACTGGGGAAACTATCTCACTGGGGAAACTATCTCACTGGGGAAACTACATCTGGGTTCCCACGCGTTACGGAGAAGGGAGAAACTAGGGAGAAACTATTTGAGTGTCTGTTATGACCTGCAATCCGATTGGTTTTAAAATAGCTGCGAAAGCTTCCTGCTAGATGAGTCGATGACAGATATCGACGAGGAAGTGAGGGAGGCGGCTTCAACTTTCACACTTGAATATCTTGAGGAAACATTTTCACGGGAAAAAACATTTGTATTTATACCATCCTGGGCTGTGGATTAGCTAGTGTGATTTCACAGCAGGTTGTCGTGATTCATCACACCATTAATGATCTGGATGTAAGATGTATTCATGTGACAATTTTCAAAATAGTCACTTTTTTTGGATAATTTAGTATTTATATAAGTCAGTTGTGTTGAGTTTCACTCTATAATGTTTCTGTTTCTTGTTCCTGTTTGGCATGCATCGAACCGCCTCCTCGGTCCAGTGGGTTGAGCGTCTGAAGGTCGGTGATCCCCGACCGTGTCATACCAAGACGTCGTTAACGTATGGACTTTGTTGTTACCCTGCCTGGCTCTCGGCACTGAGGGGATAAAACAAGGACTGGTCGGCTTAGTGTACTGTGTCTGAGTGGGGTTTCCATGCTGAACTGCGGCAGCGTATCTTTGTGGGCGAGACTATAAATCTGGCATCAGTTCGCATTAGCAAACACACACACACAAACACACGCACGAACGCGCGCGCCTGCATGCATATCGCAATTAAAGTGCAATAATCTTGAACGCGACGTGAGACACCATTTCACCTACACATGCCTCGAAACACCATTTCATTACGAGAACATAAATATGCTCCATGATGTTTACTGTCAAATCATTAGTCATCAACAGCATAATGAATATTTTTATTTTTATTAAAATTTTGATTTGCTGTGCAGGCATTATTTCAAATGTACAGGAATACCCCTTTGATGTGTTCTTGCTAATCAGAGTGTGAGTTTGGTGTAACTTCCCTTTCAAGTACAAGCGTGTTTAACTTAACTTGCGGTTCATTTTGCTTTGGGTGATGCGGGTCTTAGGCGTTTGAACTTTGGCGAAACCCAAAGGTGTGATGCTGATTAACCGTGAATTATATTCAGGGTGACTCTGGATTAGTGGCGAAACGCCCGCCTGATACAATTTTTATTCCTTATAATTCCTATAAGAACACACTCCGTTGTTAATCTCCATTTAACACATTTTAGTACCAGCTCTGTGGCTCACTGTGATTGAAGTTTTAATAATAATAATAATAATAATAATAATAATAATAATAATAATAATGCGCTAGAATGTTAACACGAGAACAAATGAAAACAGACACTATATTTGCAGTAATAAAATATTTATATATTACACAACATTCGTATTGAACAGTAGAATAAAACACTGTAATATTATAAAATAATAAACTCTGTGACGTCGTATTCTCGCTTGATCACATTATTCTTGTATGGTCATGTCCACTGATCATAGTTTATCACATTGAAAATCCAGGAGATATGGATTCATAAATACATCTGACATCACCGAAATAGCACTCTATAAACTGAACGAATCACTCTCTTTTGGCATTTGTATCACATATCCAGCATTTTGATGAAGCAAACGTCAGTGCCATGGTCGCCATACTGGCTCTGTGGTGACTTGTGGATGATGTACATCTCGTAATTCTCCTATGTCATGATGACGTACTTCACGGATCTCTCTGACGTCATTCACAGAATTCCGTAGTGTCGGGGATAGTGACAACATGGACGAGTCTGAGGAGGAACAAGAGGAAACTGAGTGAGGAGAGGACACAGATCCAGAGAGGACGTTTATGTTGCCCGGCAAGGGAGCCAATGCACATGTCTGAAAAACATCCGCAGATGGCATAATTGTCATCACAGAACCAGCCGCAGGAGCCCCTGTCATTGCCATGGTAACGGCCGGCTTCATAGGTGAAGTGTTCGGTGATGTATAGACGGGGATGATGTAGTTGGGGACGTGACCGCCACCGAGCACGTTGGTAGGCAACACAAAGGCAATCTCTCCGTTCTGAAGCTTTGTCGGTATGACTTGTAGCCCGCTGACCACTTTGGTTGCTTGGACAGGCTGTGGTGCTGTGAATGCTGCGATGTTATTGTTAATGTCCGTGCAGAAAGGAAGTGATAGCGCTGGCTGAGGATTTAAAGGTTGTTCACTGGATGAAGACACTGATGAAGTCGTAATGGTCTGTGCCGGAAGTGGCGCTGGTGGAGTTGGAGGAGTTAGCGGAAGTGACGTCACTGGAGGAGGAGGGGGCGAGCTGCTTGTCTCATCACCGGTAACACATCCTGCAAGATGGTCCAGAACACGAGCTCTAAGTTCTACGTCACATCCGTCGATTGTACTTAAATATCTGCTCACTTCCTGTGCGCACTCGTTAAATCCAAGTCGTTGCTTATCTATGTTGATAGGTCCGTTTCCAGGCGAAGCTAAATTTTTAAAAATAAATTCATTAAACACAAGTCAGATAAGTGTATGAATTGTACGCATGTTGTGGTACGTGTTGGAAAATGTAATACAGTTTCGTTAATATTTAAACCCGATCATTCTCAAGGAAGAATGAAAAGTATGCATAAATATACGAATACAAGATTTCATTTCTTTGTTAATCTGTTTTCAGTCTTGTGAAAGGATTATTAAAAAAAATAAAAAATAATACAAAACATGTATGCAACGAATCTCAGACCGCAAATGAAAACCACAACGCAATTCAGATTTCAACATCAGTTCCGTGTTGGGTTTAAAATTGCGTCACAGATAGAAATATAAACACGCCCAATTTAATGTCTCACCTGTAAACGAGTGTCTCTGGACCTCTCTCAGGTGTTTGACTGTCATCTCTAGAATGTCCGCCTTCTCCATCTTGTTGTGGCGCCCCCCCTGTCAACGGAGACACACGTGCTATACATCAACACACTTACACACATACTATACTTATATTTAGACGTGGAGCAAGCTACCGTGGGAAAGTGGCCTTCAAATCACTCGGCCGTAAACGTCTCTCTATGGCGTTACACAAGATGATTATTTTTGCGTTACATAGTCTAGAGACGAGAATCAAAAGTATACACCGTGAACGTCCATGCAATGTCATAATTAAACACTTGTTTACTAATGATAATTTATTAATTGTTTTCATTTATAACATGTACTATTATGAAATACATTGCTTATGTTAGAATATTTTTCTGAAGTTTGAGATCGGCATTTTATATATTTTAATCGTAAACGATCATGTATTCATTTTAAATTCTGGGAACGATTTTCGAAATATGTTTATGTTTTGTGTATCTGCTTATTGAACTGATATTTTCTTTACCTCTTTTTTGATAACTTCGAGTAACAGTGACTTCAATTCTGAAAGGCTGGCGTTGATTCTGGCACGGCGCCTCTTCTCCATAATTGGTTTAGTGCTCTGGAACAAGACGTGAGGATTGTTAGAATAATGGCAAACGCTCGAGATAAAAATATAATGTTGATTGCGAACATTTAAAATAAGGTTCATAAATATTCAATACTTACTTTTCTATCGCGAGTTTCCCCCGCTGTTGTGGAAACTTTGTCGGAATGCATGTTTGTGTAGCGGAATTGTCCACCCGCGAGAGCAAGGGTGTGCGAAGGAATGTCCGCTGTCACGCGAATACTCAGGTAAATACCTATGCCCAATCTTACCTTACGTGGGAACTGCACTTCTCCATTCGCGTGTCAATCACGCTCCCGTTAGCTCCGCCCAACTCGTGGCAAGATGTTATCTGATTGGCTGAAATGACGTCGCGAGCACGTCCTGCCTCGGTTCAAGTCCCAACATGCCTACGGTGGTTGATATGGTAATGAAGGCACGCGACCGGGCTTGAGAAGGAGTGTGGGAAAACCCCGCCCCCACCTCGCGGGCAGGTAGACGTCACCTTGTCCCCCCAACCCTCTACCTGGGGGATATATGTGGCCAGGAACGCAGATACCCGACACACCAAAACACCTCGACGAGCGGGGCACGGGCAGAGCGTGGGAAATGTAGACACCCTTTTATGAAGTTCATCGTGTTGAGTTGAAACCCCACCACAGCTCAATAGGGCTTGCATTTACGCTCATTTCAATTTAAATTTGCAAATTCAAATTTTTATGCAGTTAGCCCGATGTATTATTCGTTATATATCAACAAGTTTAAGGGCAGGGTGTTTAATACATCTATTATTTCGTGTTTTTTTTCTGTTTGCGCATTTTATCATAACATATTCATATCTTGTGTATTACACAATAACAACGCCAGCACGAGAACGGGGGCCGTAGATCCCAGCTATAGCTGGCACCTTGTGGAGCGGGCATCAGTGGCCATTACGTGATGAGAAAATCATCTCCCCGAGGAAAGGGGATCTACAGGGCATGCTTGATAACAATACACTTACACTGGGCATGTTTATACCACCCGAAGTACATTCTCTCAATACAGTTGACCCTCGTTAGTCTGGAAACCCCACATCCTGGACGACTGTTCTTAAGACCGTCTCTGCGTATAACCAACGCGACATTACTCCGTGCCGACGACTCGTTAATCCGTCCATCTGTTAATATGGACAATTCACGGAGATCATTACTGTCCGGATTAACGGGGTTCAAATGTATGTTATTGGCACTGTTGGAATTAAAGATCGTCCATGTTCCAGTGTGCATTGGTATCAGGGTATATGCCATTTTCCATTAGTCTGCAAATCATAGTCCATGTTTTCAATTTTCCAAGGATGTATGGGATTTGGGGTGTCCATGTGGTTTGCGTGTAAGGTAATACACCCCGGCTTCTGAGGTTATTGGGTGACATCGTCAGCATCGTCTGGTGTGCGTGGTTACCGGATAAATATGATAACATTTTAGGGTGCCTGGTTGCAGGATAAATCTGATATCTTTCTTGAATGTATGTGTATAAGTATTGGTTTGCAGTGTCCTTGCTATCCCTCTCTCCTCCCTCCGAACACTCCCTTCACTATCCCCCATCCCCCCTCTCGCTCCCTCTCTTTCCATTCTAGCCCCTCGTTCTTCCCCCCTCTCACAGCCTTTATCTCTGCTTCTGCCCCCACCCCCACCCACCCTCTCCTCCCTCCTCCACCCCCTTCTCACATTTGCCGTTACCGCTGTTTCGACACCAGCTCAAGATGTTGTGACATATATTTTCGAGTATTTAACCAGGTAGAATGGGAAGGGGCTAAAGGTGATACCCCTCGGCGGTCATGTGCTCGAAGGCTCAGTCACGTGGAAAACCCCTTTATGTCTGACAGCACGCATTACAAAATATCTGTCACTGATTGTCAGCTCTACATGCAAGACACCTATAGGCGAAGCAATACACATATCATTATGGGATTGGCGGTGAGTCCCGCCGTAAAGAAGGCTGTCCTGGCAGTACTCCGATACATTACTGGGAGTACATATTCAGAGTTCAGCAATTACCAGATTAAGGCTATTGTGCTAACCCCCATGCGTACTTCCAACTCGTTGTTACACGAATGTGAAAATATTTCATGTTAATTGAAAATGCCTTGACTATATACCGTGGTCTGATGTGGCTATACCGCCTGTCAGTCTTGGTACTCTTGTTGTGTAGATCTAATATCACGTTCCTGTTAGAGCTGGGTGTACGACGATGTGTAGCCGATCTTATGCTGGGCCGTCTTACGTTCAGAGTATGTGATGGGGCTTCATCAGAGAAGAACGCATTGAAAGTTGAGAAAGAGCAACTTGAGACCCTTCCCCTGTGTTTTTTGTTGACCAAAATAACCCTTGAGTTTGAAAAAGTTGAACAACTCAGAATGTTACTGATCAGCAATATCAACTTGACAGTGCATAAACCGTTACGGTGGGTACAGTATCATCACAATTATTAACATCAACACACAGTTGTTAACATCAACACACAGTTGTCACGCCGAATGTCAAAGTTCGATTCCCCGCATGAATACAAGTGTGAAGCCAATATTTGGTGTCCCCGCAGTTACATGGATGGGCATGAAAGTGCCCCATCTTATGCATTAATTATGTCTTAGTGTCATCTTATATACAATAATTATATCTTAGTGTCATCTTATATACAGGAAGTATATCTTAGTGTCATCTTATATACAGGAAGTATATCTTAGTGTCATCTTATATACAGGAAGTATATCTTAGTGTCATCTTATATACAATAATTATATATTAGTGTCATCTTATATACAGTAAGGATATCTTAGTGTCATATTATATACAATAATTATATCTTAGTGTCATCTTATATACAGTAAGGATATCTTAGTGTCATCTTATATACAGGAAGTATATCTTAGTGTCATCTTATATACAGGAAGTATATCTTAGTGTCATCTTATATACAATAATTATATCTTAGTATCATCTTATATACAGTAAGGATATCTTAGTGTCATCTTATATACAATAATTATATATTAGTGTCATCTTATATACAATAATTATATCTTAGTGTCATCTTATATACAATAATTATACCTTAGTGTCATCTTATATACAGTAAGTATATGTTAGTGTCATCTTATATACAGTAAGTATATGTTAGTGTCATCTTATATACAATAATTATATCTTAGTGTCATCTTATATACAGGAAGTATATCTTAGTGTCATCTTATATACAATAATTATATCTTAGTGTCATCTTATATACAGTAAGGATATGTTAGTGCCATCTTATATACAGGAAGTATATCTTAGTGTCATCTTATATACAATTATTATATCTTAGTGTCATCTTATATACAGGAAGTATATCTTAGTGTCATCTTATATACAGTAAAGATACCTTAGTGTCATCTTATATACAGGAAGTATATCTCAGTGTCATCTTATATACAATTATTATATCTTAGTGTCATCTTATATACAGGAAGTATATCTTAGTGTCATCTTATATACAGTAAAGATACCTTAGTGTCATCTTATATACAATAATTATATCTTAGTGTCATCTTATAAACAGTAAGTATATCTTAGTGTCATCTTATAAACAGGAAGTATATCTTAGTGTCATCTTATATACAGTAAGGATATCTTAGTGTCATCTTATATACAGTACGTATATCTTAGTGTCATCTTATATACAGTACGTATATCTTAGTGTCATCTTATATACAGTACGTATATCTTAGTGTCATCTTATATACAGTACGTATATCTTAGTGTCATCTTATATACAGTACGTATATCTTAGTGTCATCTTATATACAGGAAGTATATCTTAGTGTCATCTTATATACAGAACGTATATCTTAGTGTCATCTTATATACAGAACGTCTATCTTAGTGTCATCTTATATACAGTACGTATATCTTAGTGTCATCTTATATACAGTACGTATATCTTAGTGTCATCTTATATACAGTACGTATATCTTAGTGTCATCTTATATACAGTACGTATATCTTATTGTCATCTTATATGCAGTACGTATATCTTAGTGTCATCTTATATGCAGGAAGTATATCTTTGTGCCCTCTTTTATACAGTAAGTATATCTTAGTGACCTCTTTTATACAGTAACTATATCATAGTGTCGTCTTATATACAGAAAATAGTAGGGAAATCTTATAAACAGTTGGTACCCTATGTGCCCCCTAACATCTAGCCATTACATAAATTGGCATATCACGTACAGTCTGTACGACTTAGTCCTGTTTACATAGAGTCAGTACACATTATTGCTCTCTAACATACAGTCTAAACAGCTTAGTGCCCTCTTATATAAAGTAAGTACACGTTATTGCTCTCTAACATACAGTCTAAACAGCTTAGTGCCCTCTTTCATACAGTCAGTACACATTATCGCTCTCTAACATACAGTCTAAACAGCTTAGTGCCCTCTTACATACAGTCAGTACACATTATTGCTCTCTAACATACAGTCTAACCAACTTAGTGCCCTCTTACATACAGTCAGTACACATTATTGCTCTGTAACATACAGTCTAAACAGCTTAGTGCCCTCTTATATAAAGTAAGTACACGTTATTGCTCTCTAACATACAGTCTAAACAGCTTAGTGCCCTCTTATATAAAGTAAGTACACGTTATTGCTCTCTAACATACAGTCTAAACAGCTTAGTGCCCTCTTATATAAAGTAAGTACACGTTATTGCTCTCTAACATACAGTCTAAACAGCTTAGTGCCCTCTTATATAAAGTAAGTACACGTTATTGCTCTCTAACATACAGTCTAAACAGCTTAGTGCCCTCTTATATACAGTCAGTACACATTATTGCTCTCTAACATACAGTCTAAACAGCTTAGTGCCCTCTTATATAAAGTAAGTACACGTTATTGCTCTCTAACATACAGTCTAAACAGCTTAGTGCCCTCTTATATAAAGTAAGTACACGTTTTTGCTCTCTAACATACAGTCTAAACAGCTTAGTGCCCTCTTATATAAAGTAAGTACACGTTATTGCTCTCTAACATACAGTCTAAACAGCTTAGTGCCCTCTTATATAAAGTAAGTACACGTTATTGCTCTCTAACATACAGTCTAAACAGCTTAGTGCCCTCTTATATAAAGTAAGTACACGTTATTGCTCTCTAACATACAGTCTAAACAACTTAGCGCCCTCTTATATACAGTCACTACACATTATTGCTCTCTAACATACAGTCTAAACAACTAAGTGCCCTCTTATATACAGCCAGTA